TCACCTCGCCAATTCGAAATCCCGAACGCAGATAGTCCTCGACACGATGACCTTATTTTGCATCGCTAAGCTATCTGCGGAACAAGAGCCACGCAGACAGATATTAGACCCTCTCAACCGGTTTGACGCTATCCTYAACACAGGCTATCAAGCAGATACTCCAATGGTGCTCGAATACTGTCTCATGTCCCTTCACCGAGTTCTCGTTGCCTCCGACTTCATTGGTCGCAGTGTGCACCTAGCAAATTTCGTTGCTCAACTTGGACTACCTCAACTAATGCTGGGAATGAATGATTGCCATATCGATGTTTATTGGTCCCAGCGGTTATGGGATGGTCATCCACACCTTATTGCTTTGGATGCCACAAAACTGCAGGTCGGGTTGTCTATCAAACTGCCTCCTTTGCAGTTAGACGATGAGTCTTCTGATGATTGCATTACGGTCAAAGTTGATAACCCGAATACAGAGACCGTGGTTTTACTGGATGAGGATACGGGAAGACCGCCTAATGGAAARGAGGATTTAAAAGARATAGCTCATATGGCTTTGAGGTTAGAAGCAAGAAGACGACGGAAGTCAACAGAGAAGGAGTTGAAGAGATCAAACGGCTCTAGACGCCTTCGGGAGAAGTACAAACACGGCCAGCTAGTCCGCCGTTAGTCATGTTCTTATGTTTAGATGTAATGAAGAGTTTTCCTGGTCAAATCGCCTGCCAAACTCCTGGCGACTTAATTTAATTGCTCTTAAATCTAGCAGTGTGCCCCAATATGTGGTATATAACTCAGTACCTCTTGTGCAATACTGTCAAGCCTTGCCAAAGTAAAACTTAACTCTACTATGTTCTCCCAACTTCTCTGCGCATCTATCATGAAGTACGCGGGCCTCTCAGCCTTGCTACTCGTGGAGATTATTTTTCTTCTCATTATATTCTTTATTGTTCCTTGCACGACTGCGTATTTCTCATGGTTCATCCACCGACGAGTCGCAGTACTAGACATCCCTGAGATAGAGCAGACCCAAGCGACGTTTTTCATCACCATATTTCACGCTTTCTTCCTGACTCTTCTTGCATGGGGGACCATTCCATACTATAGCTACAAAGGCGCATTTTCTCGAAAGTCACACATTTGTGTCTCTTTTGGCTTCTGGCTGCTCTTTCTCGCTTATATCAGCACTTCGATATTCACGATACACGTAGTCGCATACTGGGAAAGCATCTTTGATATCAATAATATGGCCGCCATATCTAAACAATGCAAAGCTATGCTTTTTGTTGTCGCTATATCTCTCATTCTAGCTCTCGTGCTGGTCACGATCTTTATGAGGCTCGAGGATCATGAAGGCCTGTTCCCGCCTCTCATGGAACAAGTATTTGCAGATTTTCGATTTTCGGTACGCAGGGTGGGCCATTTCATCTATTCGAAGCCTGGTAAAAGGATTGATGCGTCGGCAGTGCAAGGAGTTGTTCATCAAGTCGGGAGTGAGAGGTCGGATCAAGCACCAGGGGAAATGGGGATAGATACTGAGAAGTAGAATATGGTATGTGGCGTCGAGAGCATCATACTCTCGCAGAAGAAGAAATTAAGCTAAAAATATATGGAGTGATGATAAAACAAAAAGGATTATAAATGTGTGTCAAGGCCCATCTCGGTAGCACTAAGAAGTGGCCGTTCGTTTCCGTCATGAGCCTTTGACCTAAGTTTTCTATACCAGCCTAGATTTCCACATGCTACATCGATGACCCTGTCTACAACAGGTCAGTTATGGGAAGTCCTTGCAATATGCTACTCTTACCTCCTTTTTCTTGCGAAATGAAATTCTCATCACATTTCGCAACCTTCAACAACTGGGCAAGCATCAGTCGTTCAAGTTTATCGACTGCCAGCTCCGTAAGCCACAGGCATTGTACTCTAGTTTCTAGAAGCGCACACAGAGCAGACAAAAACTCTAACTCCGATCAGCCCTTGCACAGAGGAACAGGCATAAAACTTACCGGATCGCTTCGTGTAAGAACCAGTGGACATCTGCCTAAAGTCTGGGCTGTCTGGGTGACCCAACTGAGCGAGAAACCCAAGCTGCATCTCGTAAAAGGCATTCATCTCTTCGTGGTCTTCCAAGTTCAGCTTGTGCTGTTTGCCAAGACATACGTTCGAATATCCCACTTCGTGGAGCTTGTCGCATTTGTAACAGTGGTATAGCGTCGGCGTTATACCATGACTCGCTTTGCTGTGGTCTTCGAATCCCGATTGTTTTCTGAAAACTCTCTGGCAGTGTTGGCAGCCAAATATTGGTTCTTTTATGGCACTTTTCAGCACCACTTTGTCTCTCCCAGGAATTTCTTTGCTAATATCCTGTGCACTATAGCCTAGTAAGTGCAGGTTATACATAACTCGCACTTCGTGTCCACACCAACTCGTGTCGACTGGAAGACGGCCGTGTTCAGATATGTAATGGCGTCTGAAATTCAAGTCCCCATAAAGCGTTTTTTGACATTGTATTCCACCTTCTCTCACTGCACATTTGCGTTTGCAATCGTGTTGTTGAACTTTATGAACTTTACGGCCACAAGGCGAACAGAACGTTAACTCAAAGAGCCAATGATGCCTGAGATAGTAAGAAGAGTACCTATAAGACGAATGATGTAGTCACCTGTGGAGTGTTGCAGTACTATTTCCCAATTCCATTCTCATATGCCAAGCATATTTATCGTGGTCGAGCCGGCCGTATGCAGCAAACCTCTCCAGACCCTGGTAGCAACCAGAGAAGGAGTTGCTGTCAAGGGTCCTATGCCTAATAGGCTCATAGTTGTTCCTTCTGAACCAGAGCTCGACATCTTTTCCCCATTCTTTCTGATATCCAATGGCCTCGATTGTCTCAGTTGAAGATTCAGGCACGGTTTCGATGTCCATGGTTGTAAAATCTAGGACAACATGTTTTGATTTTTTTCTTTGTTGAGTTAGTAAAAGTGACAGGAACACGAAGATCCGTACTTACGCGCAAATCTCATCAACGTGTTCCTCGTCCGTCGGTAATTCAAACATTCGTGCTTCCCCATTGTGGACCGAAAATGCGAAATGAGGCCAGTCTTCCATCACTGGTGATGCTGATTTTAATTCAGTAGTAGGTTGGGTCTGTCAGAGTCGAACAGCACAGCGAGGATGAACATATTTATTACTGGCTAGCTGATTGCCCCTGCAGTACAAAGCGTCCATGGCTGCTAACAGGGCTGGAACATGGCGGCGCATGGACTTTAGCTGAGCCCAGGGTGCGCAATCGAAGGGGGCGTGTCGGGACTCGGGGTGAGTACTACACGATTCGGACTAGCACTTGCTCCCCTGATCTGACAAGATTGGCTCTTAATGGGGCCTGAGGAGAATTTGCAATTGGCCAGTTTGCGGATAAAGATATGTAAGACTCATGCATAGATGGAATATGAAATATGTACAGTACATCATCCTACATGCTTGTCGCTGACGTCATGGTTGGCTTATCGATAAGAACCGGCCATCACATACTCTCACTCCCCGCATTTGAAATCCCGCAAGACATGTTGTCAAGATCCTTTCGTTATTCCATTCCGTGCAAAGATATTGATATCATTTGGCACTTTTGAGAGATGCCCAGGACCCCGTTTCGTCAACAGCACCTTCCCTGCCTGCACAAAGGTCACATCTGTACAGCTGGCGTCGCAATCAAACACGGTGATTGACCCGGCGGGGTACTCGTGGAATTTCTTAGGGGTTTCACTATGAAACGTCTCGTTGGTGAAGTTGGTCCAAAGTCGTTCCTAGCATAGGTAAGCCTCACATATGCACACGGACCGCGTCCACAAACCAGATCGTCTGCCGTGGTTCCGGCCATCGTTTATCACATAATCTTGTATGATTTGACTTCCTAAACAGGGGCAAGATATGACTTTAAATATCCAGAGGTCGCTGCCCAACTGAGGGCCTAATGAAGTGACGAAAAAGACAGTCGCATGGGCCAGTGGGATGGTTGATGCTGGGAGTGACGTGTTGACCTAGCTGGCAATGATGAAGAAAACTAAAATAGAAAAGGCCTGAAAGCTCCCGTGCCAATCAAACAAGACCATCTCCACTCTCGCCCACGTGATTAGCCCCTCTGTTGACAAGTTCGATGGCATCAGTGCGTGTTACTGCTACGTCAATCACAATAACGTGTCCAGCATACACAGTGGCCTTTACGCAAGATGTTCTTATCTCGCGACCTCTTTCCCAAATCGTGGTGGCCTGGATTGAGCGGTATACATCGTCACCTAATAGAGGCGCAACTTGATGCTCAAGCGCCGATATTTCTGCTCTGTCTGTCCGGTATTAGCACACGTTTTCAATTTTGTGGGTCAGCTCACCTCCATAAACCTCAGGCTGGTACCCAAAAAGAGTTGAAAGCATGACCTCGCTGAAGTTCGCAGTCAACCGAATGCCACAATCATATTTTGTTGTGTCTAGTGGTATATAGACCGTAGCCACTCGGTTCATGGCAAGTGCAGTTAGTCTTCGGAATTTATTTCCATGCGGTACAGTTTCTGCATAAGCAACAGAATTATTCCATTCCACATGATGGTTCCCCATCAAAGACGATATGTATTCACCAGCCTGTTGATTGAATTCTAGACACCTTAGCTCTGTTGGGATTGTAATCTCGAACAAACATACCATATATCAGAACTAGATTGACAGACAATTGAATGCTTTGTAAAATTGGAAGACTGGTGTATATTATCGACTTGATCCGATGACCAATTTCTTTAGCCTGATGAATAACCTCTTGAAGATCTTCTTTATCCATCCGCTTGATCTTTGTTGTAGAAAGACATAAGCCCAATGTGACTATCGTAGGGAGATCCAGCTCTTGTAAAGAGGCTAAATTCCTGTCAACGCCATCACCAGCCAACCCTGAGAACAGATTTTTGATTCGAGTCAGTGAACTGTGCTGAAATCCTGTGAAGTCCGGCTTCTCGACGGCCAATGCCTCGCTCAAGGCTTCTGTTGCATTGGCTCGCCTGAGAAACCCGCGGCAGGAAGCGATCATGCGATCCCTTTCCTGCTTCGGTAGCCCCTGGGTGTTCAAGGTTGTAATTTCATCGAAGGTATCCATGGCATTGGATATTGAGGAGAGTGGGTACTGACTAAATGTGTTTAGAGGTGTGGATATCAGACAGAATATGTTTTCAGGCGTCAAGGATTCGGAATTTTGAACAGGATCCTCGCCAGCTTTTATCTAGCGTCACATACTTGTCCAGACTCCACCTGGCCTAGCAAGCCTGTTCAGACTCCACCACACCAAACATACTTGTTCAAACTCCACCACACCAAACATACTTGTTCAGACTCCACCACATCAAACATAATTGTTCAGACCCCACTGATGGCCATTCAGTTTGTTTCGACAAACCTTCAACACCCAGGATAGAATATGTTGGCAATCGAGAAGCGGTGCTGGCCAGAACTCTCCAGAGATGCGATTTAGCCCATTATGCAGCCCCCGATGATCCCAGAGCCCAGCTTGTACAAACCAATGGTTTGTTGTCGACCGAGTTCTCAAGATAGAGTCGGTGATTATTTAAACCTCGTAGAGAGTTCGTAGATGAGTCCCCAAGCAATTTGAACTAAATTCTACCTCTACGATGTCCAATAGCCAAGATTCCGAAGAGAGCATTGATGTTTCTAGTCAATGTGTGCAACAAACGACAAGCGAATCTCAAACCAATGGACACGCTGTGGACGCGCCAAATACCGGCACAAGCGAACAACATTCTGATAATACAGAGAGCGGTTTGTAATTTTACGAATTTCTTTTAGCACGCAAAGCAACTAACAAGAGCAGTGACACCTATTAATCAAATTGTGCCGCAGACCACGGAAGAATACAGGCTAGAATAATGTCTGTGGAGTTACGGCTTCTGGATTGGGTTTAGAGTTGAGCCGCATGTGATAAGATAAGATAGTGATGATAACCGAGATAAGACACGTCTCTTTCTCCACTTAGTCAGGCTGCAATTAACTTCGATCATGAACATTTGTTGCTATTCCCAAACTTGTTTTACATTGAATGTCTAAAACGTCCCTAGAACGGAAATCGGAGTGTGATATGGGAAGATATTCAAAGCATGAGATTACCGAGAAAACCCAGGCTCTCGTCGCGGCTGCTGGGAGCCAGACACCGTACCCGCCGAGCAAGAATGCCCAAGGGCAATCTCCCTCAGCCAATATCCACGAACCAGTCTACGAGGTTTTCCCGGCCTGCCCAGAACTCATGAGACTAAAGGAAGAGACAAAACAAACTGAGGTATTACATGATGCTTTCCTACTTCTAAATCACTAACCAACGAGACATCTGGCCTCAAGACATTCTTCGGATCCCAGGCAATGCTGAAAATCAGCCAATATACCCTTCGGCATAAAACGGGATATATCAAGATCGAGGATGGCCAAGTAGGCTACATTTACCCCATCCGAGCGTCTCAGGTGCACATTCGTACAGCTCCGCGTGAACCGGATCAACTTGTCCAGTGGAGGGTTGGATATCGTTATTGTCTGGAAGGGAGTCTTCTATTTAAGCCAGCGCAGGACCAGAGCGATTATGTCATGTTCTTATTCGAGAAGACAGATTAGATTTCATAGACATCAGAAACTGGAATGCTCGGATTGGCCGTTTGTACTAATATACCTGGCCAGGAATGCATATGACCACTCATCATCGAGTTCCAAACCAACATCTTGACTTGGAAGCGTTTCCGTATCCGCATATGAATTTTGCATCAATTGGGATATTGTCAGGCCACCGGCCTCTCCATCTTCATCAGAGTGCGACATAGGCCCTATTGCCAAGGTTGGGGACTGCCTACGTGCCTCAGCCTGCTTAACTGCCTCTGAGAGTTTGTTTGGCTCTGCTTGATCAAAGAGGCGTATCCCGAGAGACTCCCCGATCTGACCGAGGCTGCATAAAAGTTAGTCATTTCAGACCGTAGCTGAGAGATTAGCACAAACCTTTTATTTGGTCGCCATAGCTGTAGCAGGAGCGCAATAGAAAGAGGCTTGTACGCCTGGATCTCATTTGTTGCATTCCAAGCCTCAACAGCTGATTCGATATGGATGATATCGTGGTTTGTGAGCCGACTTAGGTCGGAAAAAGAAGGGGCTTCATTGTTAGGAAATAGGCAAGTCGTGGGGGGTTTTGACTTACAGAAGTGAAGCGGCAACTCAAAGGCGCGGTGCCCAAGCTTTTCATGTAGGCTGTCTATCAATGTCATCAATTTGCGCGCTCCTTTCATAACATTCGATATGAATTTAGAGTTCTCTTTGTATGTGGTTCCCTGTTGAGGCTTAAGAAACCTTTTCAACTCCAGGGATACCTCGAGCTCATCCACGTTGTTCATCTTGTCGAAATGGCAAGCGACTATGAAAAGAAATGAAACAAATGCCACAAGACTTGATGAGCCAGAGAATTTTCGCATAGACTTTGTCACTCGCGCTCGAAGGGCCGATATTGAATAGCCACTGGGATCGCAGCCGCAATTTTTAATGTTCAAGAGGAGCGAAAGAATCCCTTGTTCATCATTGATTCCAATGAGCTCACGAGCTGTTTGCCATTCCTGTTCGGTTCTTGGTATCCTTCTCAAAAGCCGCTTGCCCACGTCGGAGACTTTAGGGGCACCTTTTGGCCTCGGCACACGCGGTCTATAGAACTCGAACTGAATCGTTGGGCCTGTGCCGAAGCATGGAAATTAGCCAATAGCCCCATAAGTGAAGGCTAGGACAAACCATTAGAGACACTCGCTTTACGCGTCATCATTGTCGGAGAGAGCACAAGGAAGGAGGGATTGATGGGTGAAGGAGGGAATTAGCTCAGGGCGGCAGGCAGCCTCGTTATACCTATCTTGGGTGATGATATATATCATCACCTAAGATAGGTATCATGCATGCCAGGGGTCTACTAGTGCTCTTTCGCTTGCCCCTCCATCAGCGCTAATCTTTGACCCACTAATGGGCATCTACATCAGTCTATCCCGTATTGGGATGATGATATATATCATCACCCAAGATAGGTATTGTGCATCCCAGGGGTCTACGAATGTGCTTTCGCTTGCCCCTCCCCCTACATCAATTGGAGTGCGCTGATCTATGCCCCACTTATGGGGCACCTACATCAGTCTATTCCGTATTGGGATGATGATATATATCATCACCCAAGATAAGTATCGTGCTTTAGTACAGCCGCCTGCTGCCCATTTCCTGCCGCGTTGTCTCAGACATTACATACTATCACATATTGGGGTAATGATATATATCATAACCCAATATAGGTTTAGGGCTGAAACGGTAGCACTCCAATTCGTCTCCGTTCACACCACTGTCCACAACACATCCCCAACATCAGACATGGGACGGGGTATTCCAGATAAAGCAATATGCTTTCCCAAGATCTTATAAGGCAATGTGCAACCCACAAGGCAACTACTTGCAGGCCTCATCGACACGGTTCGCCAGCAAGCAACAATTTCGATCAACCTCATCTCATGCATTTTTCTTCACCCGAACCTTTTGCCGAACCTTTTGCCCGCGGTGCATATGATACCACGGGCTGCCCAAAGCCACCACCAAGACCCAGACCGAGCTAGTTTGCCAAACACTCAAGATGACAACTGACAGCCTCACGGTCTCGCGAAATGCTGTTATCGCACTTTCCATTATTATTCCCCTCATCTTCATCATTCTTCTCATCATCATTTTCTGGCTCTGGTTTACCCTGAGACGTTTGCAAAGCCACGAATCAGATGAATTTCCTCTAAGATCATCGCACAGCACTACAAGCATGCCACCTGTTTACAGCACTACAAGCGTGCCACCCGGCTTCTATCCTTGCTTCGCTGTGGTTGGGAAGAAAGACTCGACCAAACTTTTTTTAGAGGCTAGAGATTACAAAAACCCCACTGGCAGCTATGACCGCGCATTTGGCCACTTTCGCATTGTGTGCAACCCATCTATAAATGACACGGGGGTCGATGGCGTTGTTATGCTCGATGACGCAAGCCTATCCGACAAGGTTGAGTGGGCGTATACTAGAAAGGAGGTAGTCTTCGTGGGTCCTGACCCTGTCATGCCCCCGTGCCTCCGCAGAAACTGCACGTTGGGTCTTGTCGATCCCTTCCCAGAACTCCTCCAGAAGACTTCGAGCAGATTTCACATTTAATCATACTATATAAGACTAGCTGAGAGCAGACAAATATTACACTTCCTACGTAAATACTAGAACTATCTTTGCAACTGTTGAAATGAACTACCTAGACCCCAAAGACAAACCTACACGGAAGAGACGTTCAAATACGGATCTGAGAGCCGAGATATGGAAGATCCCCAGGATTGAAGCTGAGAGTCACGAGCTACTTCCAAGGGAAAACATGACGACTCATATCCAACATCCAAGTAACGCAACTACGATTGGTGCTGGGCCGTGGATGACCCCATTGGAAAAGTTCCCGTGCATCATCGGGGTTCAATACCCATCGTTTTGCAAAGACAGGTCTTTCAAGACGCTTGGGATACTCCAGTAAGCAGTGCTGATGATACCTGACATCAGTAAACTCACTGACATATCTAAGTATTCACCTGAGACGTTGCCATTCGTATACAAACTGGTGCAAAGACTGCCTGAAATCGTTCAACCAAGCCCTAGATCAAGAAGATCTAGCTATAGCAAAAGCCACTCACAAGAAAGAGTGCCCAAAAACTCCCACACAAGAAAACATAAACAAGCGTTTAAAGCAATTCATTATGGAAGATTGGCGGTGGGAGGCTTTCAAACGGAGAGCTTGGGAGCAGGTTCCAACTCGTTATCCTGAAGAGCCTATAGTGAATAGAAGGTATAGAAAGATGCACGAAATGCTCACCGCTCCAAACGAAGGCCGACTTCCTGGAATTCATGAAACCTTCAGTGCCAGCAGCCCTAACAGTCACCAAATTATATTGGCCGGGTCTGAACGCCACTGGGGAGTCCTGGATGACCGGAATGCGCACCGGGGGTCTACTCTAAATCAAGGCCAACTTCCTGGAATTCATGAAATCTTCAGTATTGAGAGCCCTAACAGTCACTAAATTGCACTGGTCGGGTCCGAATGCCACAGGGGAATTACACGGTGATTGGTAGATTTGAGATATCAGATTGAAGGGTGTTAATGATATGGGGCGAGCTACTATAGATCGTTATGGTAGAAATGAATATATATACCTCACTTCTTCCCAGAAGCATTCTGACTGATACCACGACCTCAGCAACACCTTTAGCCACTAAAATGTCCCGCAACCTTCGTCCAGTCCAAAAACACCGTAACACGTACATCTTCCATAAGAATGACATTTGGGAACGGCTAGCAAACGACAAACGCCAACTTCTTGAAAGGTTCCAAGGCGAGTACTCTCACCCGCCAACGCAAGAGCAGTTGGTGGCTTATCGCCAAGCCAGAAAACTTTTTAAAAAGTTCAAAAGTGAGACTGAATTTAATTCGGGTTAAGCAATGATCTAATATCCAGCAGAAATCGTAGGACACTCTCACCCCCTAACGGAGGAACAGTGGACGGCTTATTGCCAATCCACGGGGTACATTGGAAGCGAGGAAGAGTTCCTTTGCTATACGGACCACGGCGAGGCAACTCAATTGACGGAAATGTTTACCCTGAGATCACAAAAGGGTAAGGAGACAGTAGACAAGGGTAATACCCCGGTGGTAAAGACCGGCTTTTGGTATGTCCAGCGGTGGCTTCAGGAAGGAGGGAGGGATGCGTGCCGTTCAGGAAATTGACGAGTCATATTGACATGGCTGTCAACTCGGGGATAGCAGGGACGGGCAGGTTTTGGTACGAAAATAGGGCGAGGTTCAATATAGAATCGGGGACTGGTGTGTCTTCTGAGGGAGAGAAGACGAAGGTCAAGAAAGAAAAATAAGGGGGCGATGGCCTATACTTGTGACAGACACTCTATTGACCTGCCAACCAATGAGAAAGATAGTTTCTATTTGTAGCTGCTGTAGCACACAACCATGCTGTCGTTGGAGAGGACAAGGCCTGCAGTTGAGACAACAGTACTGAATCGAGGCGTGCGATTACACGCCCCTCCTGTACACCATCGATGTACATCCCTGCTCTGACCCTAGGGTTGGTATCCCTGCAGATAGCCTTCGGGTCCGTCTAGCCCTTTCTGTCGGCTTACACGAAACAGAGGGCGAGAGGGGACGTGCTCTTGGTATTATCGTTGGGACTACGAGAAGCCGCAAGAAAACTGCCCACTCGGATGATGGCCCCGATTTAGATGGTTTCACAGGTTATGTCATAGCATTATGCAATCTAGAAGGCTGGCACTGTAAAAGTGGTCTTCTCATGTACTTTACTCATCGCGCCCGCTGTTTCCTCCTCCATCTGCTTTGGCTGCCTTAATTTGCCTTATCGAGAATGGAGTTCTTTACAGTCCCTTGGTCGAGCCTTGATTTCATTCGAGAGCTTTGGCCCGCTATCACAGTTCGGCATAAAACAAAGCCGTGTAAAAGATTTCTCGCCGAGTTTGGCATAGCATCTGTCGATGGTTTTGATGCTAAAGGAGGTAGCAAAAGCGACAACAAAAGCGACAACAAGTTTGATACCACAGGCTTTCTCCACGATACTTCGGTGGCCTATTACGAAAAGTATGATGGCTTCACTGACATAGTATTTAAACCACTTTTCAAGGAAGCATCATTTGGACATTGGGTCCAAATGGAAGTCAAAATTACTGAGTCGGAGACTGGGGACTCAGAGGATACAAAATATTATCCTGTTGGCGAAGTTTGGATTGGCCATGGGTATGAGGCATACCCCCTACAACGCATTGCGAAAATTAAAAAGATCACAGAAAAAAAAAAAAGCCCAAGAACCCATATCAACTATCCAACCATTTCTCAAGTCCAAGCGAGTCCGCTCCCTCGTACAACTCATCAATTTCAGTTACGGACTTGAATCCAGGCTCTAGCCAAACGACGAAACCCATGTTGACAAATACAAACCCGCTCAAAAGGGCCCGGTCTAGTTTCGATATGGACTCAGCTCCCTCTCACCTAAATACAAACCCGCTCAAAAGGGTCAGGTGTGATGTCGGTATGGCCTCAGCTCCTGGCGTACCTCACCCTCAGAAATGGCATAACTCATCGAGTTCAATTACGGGTCTGAATGTCAACTCTTGTCAAATTATCACAAAGCCACTTGAAGTGTATGACTTCGATATAGCCTTAGCTCCCGCTCTACCTTACACTCAGAAGTGGGAAAAGGGACAACGTTATAGCGTGGTAATTAATACTGTCTTTGAGGAATTAGGTAAGGCTTTGTTCTATTTGCAAATCAATCGATACTTACGTGCCATGTAGAAAGAAAGGGGGTTGTCCTCAGGAAGGCTTGCCACTCTCTGCCTATAGATATATTCCGCCACCGAGGGGAGTACACTTGGGTTCCGCCAAACGAAATATTTTGGTATGTTCCGGAAAGTGAGTACGAAATAGCGAGGAGGGCTGGCTGTACCTTGGCATTTGCAGGGAACTTCCTGTCACTTCGGCGTTCGCTCTTGATGCACCAAAGCCCGACCAGCTGCACAAACGAAGCTCGGTGTGTCACATCCATGATCAGATATACAGGCACCCCTGAAATCTTGGGATACAACAAGGGGTTAGATTATGATATGTGGGTGGCTTTTGACAGTATTGATTACGATGAGGATGCAGACCTAGGAGGCTTTCCCACCAAGATCACCGACCAATATGGGTACGCTACGGTGATTCCGGCAAGCAGCCCCTGCCGCCCTGCATTAGCCCTTACTAGTATGTAGACGTATTTAAAGTCCGAGAAGGACGCTTCAAGAACAGACAGACACTTCCCATTATTCTACGATTGCATTGTCCTCTTGGATGACCGCCGACAATGGCAGCCTCTTTGCCTGCTTTACCCTCACCCAAAAGCTGGTCACACCTTCAAGAATACACTGTTGTCTCGAATGAAGTTTTCCGGGAGCTACGCAAGTCTATGCGCTTAATACGCCAGCAAGTGCTAACAAAAGGAACAGAAAACCAGACTACCATTCCGGAAGACGATTGTCACATGGTAAATGCGTCGTATTTGCACGAAGACGAGATGTTCCTCTGGCTTTCAAAAGACAACAACCTCTGGTGCATACCGATATCTCGGGGGGAGTTAGAAAGAAGGAGCGATTGCTATCTGATGTTTGCCAACGAATTTGTATCACTTGAGAGAAGAGTCGTCAAAGAACGGGGAAAGAAAGCCAGAAATGAAGCCAAATGTGTTGTAGCACTGGCGCGCAAGGCCGATCATGCACACTTGGGGTACTATGACTGTAACTGGTACAATGCATGGGTACAGCTAGAGGGTCGTCCTTTGGATTATGTTAGTTTTAGACGCCCCTTTTGAGGTACTAGGGAAATGTATTTATTAGCTGGGTAGGGAGGGTTGTTATGGGCGTGGCTTCCCAAACATGCATTCATGCCTGCAGCTTTATGTATAGTTACCCTCCCCCCCCCCCCGCTTGATGAGGCGAACCACTCTCTACTTCAGTTGCCTTTTTTCTCCGCGGTTCGCTTTTACAGGCTGTACAAGATCCTCCTAAACCTAGTCACTGGATAACACTCCCAACTGTCGACATGGAAGGAACGATCTTCCACCCAAATAAGTATGGAGGTTCGCATGGTTCGGGGCCGCGCTTAGTCGTTCACCATAGTGCTATTAATATCCAGCGGCAAAAATGAAGACAAGTCACATTCCCAGCGTTTGGGCCTCCTGCGGTGACAAACAGCCCCTTGTCCTGCGACCCCTGGTGATACGGCTGCAGAGCCTGCTTGAGAGTGAGGCTCTGGCGGTGAAAGGTCAAGATAGACGTTATAAGAGACCCCCTCATTCTCAGTGAGATCTTTCTCACACAAGTTTGATATCCTACGAAGAGGCCCCTAGTGAAATCCAAATATTGGTAAGTTCTCGCCAGTAATCTTCTGTTCACCTTCAAAGGCCTGAACCACTCACAGTTTGTCACTCATACACAAAAGAAAAAATGGACAGCACAGCGAGTGAGAAGATCCAAGCACGAAATGAAAGAAT